CTTAACTCTTTGTCGAAACCTTCAGACTTCAGTTTCTTTCCAGATGAGAAGTCGTTCACTTGTTTCACCTTACTATGAAGAGCTTCGAAAGCGTTCTTAAAGTCAGCATTTGTTAAAGCTTCATTTGAACTATCTTCATCCGCTTGTATTTTTGTCCTTATTGACCCTATGAGTTGGGCTGCTTTAGCGTTGGCTTGGGCATCTAACCAGTCATTGTTGGCTTTTATATATTCTGCGCTTTTCATTGCCTTTTGCATAGCCGCGTCGTTATTTTTACTTTCTTGTGCTAAGTTTTCATACTGTACGGTTTGGTTTTGCAACTGTAAAAGTTTTTCTGCCTTTACATTTGCTTCAACTTCTTTTTTATACTCATCGCTATCCATATATGTCTTCAGGGCTTTTTGTTTTATCTCTTCATCTTTCAGTATTTTATATTGAGTAGTATGGTTTTTCAAATTTATGACATCTTGTTCCATTTTTGCTACTTCTGTTGCTTTTTCTGACACTTTTTTCGCATATTCCTCTGTACTTAGTTCTTTCAGTTGTTCTTCTTTCTTCTTTTTCTCTACGTTTAACTCATTGAGTTTCTTTGTGTGTCTGTCATATTCTAGTTTCTTTTCGTTTTCACTTATTTGCTTCTGTATGTCTATGTTTGACTTTTTGACATCTGTTATTTGATTTTTGAGTGAACTCAAATTCATTTGACTTTGAGGGTTATAAGCTGTTCCGTCTGCAGCTCCACCATAGCCTGCCATTTTCGCTAAAAGTGCCGCTCTTAAACCTCCACTCTGTGCACCAACAACTCGGTTTAAAAGCATAGGATTGCTTGACATTTGTTGCAACATAGTGGGGTCATTCATCATTTGTTGTTGCAACTGTTGTTGTGGTGTCAGTTTTACTATTGGATGTTTCAATGCTCTCTTCCTCTTACGTATATTCTTACGTAGCTTACGTGGCATTTTAAGTGAAGTTAAAAAGCGGTTTTTGACAGATGTTTATTGTGACTTCTTCGTAAAGACTTTATTGTGACTTCTTCGTAAAGACTTTGTTGAGATTTCTTCGTAAAGACTTTGTTGAGATTTCTTCGTAAATGACCCAAAAATATATTTTAGGTGAAGAGGTGAGATTTCACCTCTTTTTTCACCTCATTTCTCACCTCTTGAATTTTCATGAATTTCTTCGTAAAGACTTTGTTAAGACTTCTTCATCTAATTTCTCATGAACTTTCTTGTCTATGTTTTGTTGAGATTTCTTCGTAAAGACTTTGTTGAGATTTCTTCGTAAAGACTTTGTCAAGATTTCATCGTAAAGACTTTGTTGAGATTTCTTCGTAAATGACCCTAGTAGTATATTTTTGGTGTAAATTTCATGAAAATTCAAGAGGGTGAAAAATTAGGTGAAAAAACAGGTGAAATCTCACCTCTTCACCTAAACATTATTTTTATTGAATTCTGTGTAAATTTCATGAAAATTCAAGAGGTGAGAAATGAGGTGAGAAAACAGGTGACATCTCACCTCTTCACCTAAACATTATTTTTGGTGTAAATTTCATGAAAATTCAACGGGTGAGAAATGAGGTGAGAAAACAGGTGACATCTCACCTCTTCACCTAAACATTATTTTTGGTCATTTACACTCATTACGAAGAAGTCTTGACAAAACATTTACGAAGAAGTCTTGACAAAACATTTACGAAGAAGTCTTGACAAAACATTTACGAAGAAGAAGTCTTGACAAAACATTTACGAAGAAGTCTTGACAAAACATTTACGAAGAAGTCTTGACAAAACATTTACGAAGAAGTCTTGACAAAACATTTACGAAGAAGTCTTGACAAAACATTTACGAAGAAGAAGTCTTGACAAAACATTTACGAAGAAGAAGTCTTGACAAAACATGAAAACATATATAATTTGTGAAAAGTGAAACATTATATAATGTTTTCGACCAAGAAGACTAACAATTTTCCGAATAAAAACTTCATTTATACTAAACATCTTCAGGGCTAGAGGGCACGAAGTGCCTGGAAGCCCCACTACCTTTTTTTTTTTTTTTTTTTTTTTTTTCGATACGAGCGTAAGTCCATAGAATGTGTTTTGAGGGAAACTATAAAAATCCAAAATAGAGGTAAGTGCGCCATTATTACCTGCGAAGTTACATGGAATAAATCGAAGAGTAAGTACAAGATGATCTTGCATCTTTCCAAGTAAATGAAATTTATTAAAATTAAGATGATAATATTCATTTATAGTATGTGTATGATGTGTTTTCAAAATTTCTTCAAATAAAATGCAATGATAATTTTTGAATAATTTTTTCTTGTGTATATTTCATTTTTTATTAGTGAAAATATCATTACATCAATAAGGAAAGCACAATCCAAATTCATATTAGTTAAATTAATCTACGACCAAAAGCCCGCCAAATTTGAATTAAACACGTTTTTTGATAAAAGTGTCATTTATGATTGTTGCATTTAGGGATAGTAGCCAATTTCGGTACCAATCTTGAAAATGCCTCGCCATGCCCGCAACATGGAAGAGAAGTATTGGTCTGATATTGAACTATCAATCAATGCAAACTGAATCACCTTGTCATGTTGCTCCACAGATACAGCAGTCTGAGTCCCTCGCTTGGTCATGTTGCTCCACAGATACAGCAGTCTGAGTCCCTCGCTTGGTCATGTTGCTCCACAGATACAGCAGTCTGAGTCCCTCGCTTGGTCATGTTGCTCCACAGATACAGCAGTCTGAGTCCCTCGCTTGGTCATGTTGCTCCACAGATACAGCAGTCTGAGTCCCTCGCTTGGTCATGTTGCTCCACAGATACAGCAGTCTGAGTCCCTCGCTTGGTCATGTTGCTCCACAGATACAGCAGTCTGAGTCCCTCGCTTGGTCATGTTGCTCCACAGATACAGCAGTCTGAGTCCCTCGCTTGGTCATATCACACCAGATAAATAAAAGTTCAGCTTCACAATACTTACCTGCTCTATTATGTGATTTTTTCCAACTATCATATGTTAGTTGTTGTATTGAAGTTGAGTATGAAAGAATAATGTTGCAAGATTTCTCACCAAATAAAAAATCATTAAAGAACTTTTTATTCTTTGAAAATGTATTTATGTTGAAAATAATGGAAGATGTTATTCTTGTTAGTTAGTTTACGAAGTTCTTTTGGAAGAAATTTGTTGAATATCTTTATTTTGAATGGGAATGAACTTAGGAAATTCACCACGAGCTCTTGAATAGGCAGAATTGTAATGGATGATTAGCTATGATGGGATTATACGATGTTGGTTTGTTCTAGAATGATTAAAAAGTTTTCAGGTAATGTGCTGATGCATTACAAAAGATGGAAATTATTTAAATAATAACATAGTTTAATAATATTCAATTTAACTTATTAAATATTTGAAAAATTATCTAATTAGGATTTTTTTAGTTTGAAAAATTAATTTTAGGCATAGTGTATAAAATAAAAAGCATCTACCGTGTCAGAAAATCGAAAAGTTTTCCAAAAAAATCATAAATTTCAAATTTTGAAATAAAAATTGGTACTTTTTAATATGTAAAATAAGAAAATGTATTTTTTTGAAAAATTTAGATAGAGTAGTTCTCTTTGTATCTAAGAGGAGTGAATTTTTTTTCTTTAACAAGATCTGGAAACGAACAATTGAAATTTATTTTATCAATATCAGGAGGAAAAGTTAAGATTCAATATGGGATTGGTTGGGTGTAAGGTAGAGGAACTATTGTGTGATAGTTGATGCTTAGAGTTGAAATTGAAGGAAAATAAAACGATAAAAATAAAATGAATACTACCATGGACCCGTCAGTAATAGGTAGTGAAGAGAATAAATCATCCTTACCTCATACAACAACTCATCCTTAGCTGAGACAACAAGTCATCTTTACCTCAGACAACAACTCATCCTTACCTCAGCCATTGACTTATCCTTACCTCAGTCATTGACTCATCCTTAACTCAGACAAAAAGTCATCCTTACCTCAGTCATTGACTCATCCTTATCTCAGCCATTGACTCATCCTTATCTCAGTCATTGACTCATCCTTACCTCAGACAACAACTCATCCTTACCTCAGTCATTGACTCATCCTTACCTCAGACAAAAAGTCATCCTTACCTCAGTTATTGACTCATCCTTAACTCAGACAAAAAGTCATCCTTACCTCAGTCATTGACTCATCCTTACCTCAGTCATTGACTCATCCTTACCTCAGTCATTGACTCATCCTTACCTCAGTCATTGACTCATCCTTACCTCAGTCATTGACTCATCCTTACCTCAGTCATTGACTCATCCTTATCTCAGTCATTGACTCATCCTTACCTCAGACAACAACTCATCCTTACCTCAGTCATTGACTCATCCTTACCTCAGACAAAAAGTCATCCTTACCTCAGTTATTGACTCATCCTTAACTCAGACAACAACTCATCCTTACCTCAGTCATTGACTCATCCTTACCTCAGTCTCTCTCTTTGACATCCAACACTCAGTCTCTCTTTGACATCCAACACTCAGTCTCTCTCTTTGACATCCAACACTCAGTCTCTCTCTTTGACATCCAACACTCAGTCTCTCTCTTTGACATCCAACACTCAGTCTCTCTTTGACATCCAACACTCAGTCTCTCTCTTTGACATCCAACACTCAGTCTCTCTCTTTGACATCCAACACTCAGTCTCTCTCTTTGACATCCAACACTCAGTCTCTCTCTTTGACATCCAACACTCAGTCTCTCTCTTTGACATCCAACACTCAGTCTCTCTTTGACATCCAACACTATAATTTCTTATATATATTCCTTACGCATTCACATCACATTCTTCCTAATCATTTATTAAATTTTTTTCCCTTTTTTATAAATTTTAAATCTTTTTAATTATATTTTTTTTGATTCATTTCCTTATATTTTTAAATATTTTTATCTCTCTGTATTTCAGTTTAAAATCCGTTTATTATTTCAAATTCGCTTATGGCCCAGACTCCTAAGGACATGGTTCCTGATGAGACCCGCGAGCCTTTTTTTGTTGAAGAACCAAAAATCGAAGCAATTGATCCTTTCAAGTATATTAACTGTACCAACTACCTAGATTTGAACACAATTTCCATATTACTCAAAGAAATCGAAAAAAACATACTGGCTTACACACACACCGATATTGCTCAAGCTCTTAGTGTTGCCGGAATTTCTTATGAGCAATTTCAAAAAATTCCTTGCTTTGTTTATATCAACTATTTCTCCAATCTTGCCATAAAAAGGCTTGATCTTTTGGAGATCATTATTTATACATACATTACAATATGGGAGTGTAATGATATGAAAATCTTTATTGACAATAATTTTGCTTTTTTTCTTTATGTGGTCGATAAATACTTAGACTTCCAGACAATTCAACAATGCAGTTTCTATAATTTGAAAGGTAGATCAAACATAAAAGATGATGTAAAAACAAATAAGCAAATGATTAATATATTATATGAAGATTTAATTACATGTTATCCATATAAATCGACAGCCAATCTAATATTACATCTTCTAAATGATGATACTACATATAACTTTTCGAATGTTGACTTTCGATTTCTTGATGATCACTTGCATATCGCTCATTTAGCTTTGCATTTCTCTGCCACAAATGTATTCAATCAGTTTGCACAGGGCATCAAAGATAAAAACTTTAATAATTATGTTAAAATTTACAACGGATCTTATTTCGACTTTGATCTTTTGAATGATGGAACTGTGCCCAAATGGATTTTGGCAGGATCAAACTGTGTCAATGCTAATATGCTTCCATTTTTGATTTCAACTCATGATTACATCGGATTTCTAAAACAAAATAATCTGAATGAAAGAAGAATTCAAGGGCAAGTATTACTTAACTGTGCAAAATATAATGAATTCCTTATTTTTCGTACATTTTTAAATAAGGATACCGCAAAAAGCTGTATCAAACATATAACAACGGCATCTGGCTTAGAAGCATTTTATCTGGAGACAATGTATAAAATGTTAGATATAAATTTTCTTAACAAATTATATGATACAGAATCATCGAATTATATTGGACTATATTCAAGGCTTTTATTTTTCGAATGCAATTCCAAAATACCTTATAAAATCAAAAATTTTGAGCTCACTGTTAACAAAAATAAATTATTGAATCCATTTCAAGTATACGAATTTTTAAGTTATTTACCGTCATTTTTGGAGATCAAAAATGCATCGGTTAAAGATCCTAAAACGGATTTATTTCGATACAGGATAGTATACAATTTTAAATATATAAAGGAAAGCTTAATTACCTCAACAAACAAAAAAACATTATTTGATATTGTCCTTGTTAAAGGGAATTTATTTTCAATTCAATTAAAAAATCTCCCTGAAGGCATGATGATTGACGAAGATTCATATCTTAAAATTCACAAATCAATTTTGCCATCCCCACAAACCAAAAATAAATTTCGTACGAAGTTAATTAAATATAATATAATTGACCGGCCAGAAACAGAAGACGAAAGAGATATTTATGATGAGTTAAAAACCCTTCCAGGACGTGTGCGAGTTCATTATTGTGATGATAATGAAACATATCAAATGTTTTGTCAAGGACATAGAGTCGAATGGGTCTCTTGGGTATCACCAATATCTGCGCAATTGCTTATGAATCCGAACTGCAAAATTCAATTGATTGAGGTCGACGCTACCTTCCCAATTGTAGATTATATTTTAATAGTCCCTCAAATAGTTATTTATAATACAGGGATTCCTATGGGCTTCTATGTTGGTCCATCCGAAAACGCAGAAGCTTACAAACTGTTTTTTGCCTCTTTAGAAAAATCTGGTGTTACAATCGAAAGAATCAGAGAAATTCCATTCCTTGGTGATTTAGGAACTGGAATTAAAAAGTTTGCAAAAGATAAAGAATTAATCATATGGGCTTGTATACGCCATGTGCTAAATCTACTGTCTGAGGGAAGCATGGTGGATGGCATGATCGAGGATACAATCAGAGCCATAAGGCAAGAGGATTATGAAGCGAAGGCTATTCAATATACTCAATTACTCGAAGAATGGCATAATGAAGGTGCGATTTCATCGAATGCCATTCAAAAATATAACAAATTTTGCATTAATAAAAAAGGAAAATTCTGCTTGTGTTTTAGGGAATGCCTTATTGGCCCATCCAATCATGCCGAAAGTTTCCATTTGCAATATCAAAAAATCTTAGAAAAATTTTCGGCAGGAAAATTTGATTTCAAGCTGATGATTCATCTCCTTTCAGATTATATAATGCAGAGAGAAAAGGATGTACCGAAAATTGTAAATACAAATGTTAGTCGAGAACTAAGCAACCAAAAGAAATATGCAAAACAGCTCTTGAATGTTCATCCTACATGCGGACAATGGTGCATTGATCAGGAATTGATTCTTAAGAGTAAGTTCGGTGTTAAATTTCCATGCATTCACGAAATTAAGAAAGACACTACTATTTCTCAACTAACATTGCCTCCTTGCATAGGATTATTTGAAATCGAAAGAAATGAAGCACAAAATCAATTTAAAGTATCTAACAAGTCAATGACTGAGATAAGGATGAGTCAATGACTGATGTAATGATGAGTCAATAACTGAGGTAAGGATGAGTCAATGACTGAGATAAGGATGAGTTGTTGTCTGAGGTAAGGATGAGTCAATGACTGAGGTAAGGATGAGTCAATGACTGAGTTAAGGATGAGTCTATGACTGAGGTAAGGATGAATTTTTGTCTGAGGTAAGGATGAGTCAATGACTGAGGTAAGGATGAGTCAATGACTGAGGTAAGGATGAGTCAATGACTGAGGTAAGGATGAGTCAATGACTGAGGTAAGGATGACTTTTTGTCTGAGTTAAGGATGAGTCAATAACTGAGGTAAGGATGACTTTTTGTCTGAGGTAAGGATGAGTCAATGACTGAGGTAAGGATGAGTTGTTGTCTGAGGTAAGGATGAGTCAATAACTGAGGTAAGGATGACTTTTTGTCTGAGGTAAGGATGAGTATATGTCTGAGGTAAGGATGAGTCAATGACTTAGGTAAGGATCATTCCATTCCAAATATATCACAACACCTACACCTTACACAACCCACAAATCATCTCCAAATTTCTTTTCAGAACTTCTTTTAAATGAGCATTTTTCAATCAACAAACATCCCTTCTTTTGCCCGCACAAAAGGTTTCAGATGTTATCTTGTTCGAGAAACTCATGAAACAAAGTTCTAAATGAAAATCCACGGAATGAGCTTGTTCAATAGCATTATCAATAAAAAGAAATCTATGGTATCGCCCGCACAATACCAAAAGATTCCATTTTGTAATGAATGATTACTATGATCCAAGGATGGTTCCGTAGACTTGAAAATTTTAAATTGGAGGTTTAATTCAAATTTGGCGGGCTTTTGGTCGTAGATTAATTTAACTAATATGAATTTGGATTGTGCTTTCCTTATTGATGTAATGATATTTTCACTAATAAAAAATGAAATATACACAAGAAAAAATTATTCAAAAATTATCATTGCATTTTATTTGAAGAAATTTTGAAAACACATCATACACATACTATAAATGAATATTATCATCTTAATTTTAATAAATTTCATTTACTTGGAAAGATGCAAGATCATCTTGTACTTACTCTTCGATTTATTCCATGTAACTTCGCAGGTAATAATGGCGCACTTACCTCTATTTTGGATTTTTATAGTTTCCCTCAAAACACATTCTATGGACTTACGCTCGTATCGCGTTAAAAAATGTCGTTAAAATTGAACCGCGCCGTAAATTAAGTTTTAGCCAGGGGATTTTTGTTAATGCAAAATGTTAGAAACAACATAAAGAATCATACAGCATGCTAAATTTTCTAAAATTGAAACTTTGTGTAAAGTAACAATTTTTTTGACATTGTAAATTATGTTCAATATAAATATATAGTATACTCAAATCTCAGTAGTGAGAATCCATCAAATATAAATTTCCAAAATAAATTTCAAATTAAAGAACAGAACGAGAAAATAAAAAATAAATAAATAAATAAAATATATATATAATATCATCACTTTTTGTCAAAAGTGAAGTCAACCCCTTTTCCATGCAGATAAGTTACTTCATTTCTACATAATGATGAAGGGCAGAAAGTCGTGGTTTGTCATTGACCAGTCCTCAATCATGGTATCATTTGCTGGAAATGGATGGTTAGGACCTTCACTCAAGACAATAATTTAAAAGATATTCTTCAAGGAAGAATATACCTCAAGCCTTCTGATAATGGCTATATTAACAGAAGGAATGTTCTTAATCTGGTGTAACTTACTTGTCCAAAAGGCAAACATTGAATTAAGAAACGACAATATCAAAAGAAAATTACTCCTTTTAATAAATTCTCACTATACCAGGGAAAATGAAGCGAGCTTGAGTTATTTACTAGAAAATAATATGAAGCGAAACAAAGTGAGGTGAAATTCGTATTTTTCAGATATATCGATCAACATTGAGTTTTATTTGGGTGGAAAATGCATCTATTTGGTGTAAATGAATAGATAGCCTTTTAAAATGCATTTATGTACAATATTTACCTGATCATAATTTTTTTTTCAAAAATTTTGCTTTTTTAGCATTTTGAAGATCATGAGGTATCTATATATGTACTCTAGATTGTATTTGTAAACTCATTTTGACCATATAGCCATTATTTAAACTGCATCTTTTTTGAGATTTCAAATTTTTATATAAAAGAATGTCTGTTTGTACTCATTTTGTTATACATTGTCTGTTTGTACTCATTTTATTAAAGATATCTTATAATAATATTTATTTTTTATTCATATAATAAAAGATATGTGTTTGCTATTTATTTTTTGAGATTCTAAACAAAAGGTAGTGGGGCTTCCAGGCGCGTTGCGCCCTCTAGCCCATAAGAAATTTTGCCCAAGACCCAAGAGGAGGACCGAACCCCAGCCGACCAGCCGGTGACAAAACCAAAACCGTTGTTATTTACATCATATTAATGGTGTCACTTTTCACAAATTATATATGTTTTCATGTTTTGTCACTTTTCTGTCACTTTTCGGGTAAAAACATTTTTATTATTATATATAAATGAATTTTACAAAACCACCGTTACCGTTCTTTGGAAATAAGAGTAGATGTAAAGATATTATATTGAGAGAACTTAAGAAACTACCGAATGGTCTAACATTTGTAGATTTGTTCGGTGGAAGTTTCTATATATCCCATTTATGTCATACCGTATTTCCTGACTCAAAGATTATATGCAATGACTTCGACAACTATATGGACCGTCTCAAACATATTCCAGACACAAACAATATATTGAAAGAGTTAAAAGAAAAGATACCTATAGGTAAGATGGAACGTATACCATTAGATAACAAAAATATTGTGAGAGAGGTTTTGAAAAAAGCAGAATATATAGACTGGGATAGTATATCTGCTAGACTATTATATAGTGGTGCTATAAAAGTTCATGACATTGAAACACTTATGTCAAAAGTTTTATATCTTAACTATACAAATGTTTTCAAAGAGGACATAGAAAAATATATTGAGGGTATAGAGTTTGTGAGATGTCATTGGACAGAGTTGTATGAAAAATATAAAGACAAGGAAAATGTTTTCTTTATAGTGGACCCGCCGTTCTATAACACATGGGATTTTCAATACCAAGTAGACTGGACTTTGAGAGACTCTTTAGAAACTTTAGACGTTATACATAACCATCCATGCTTTTACTTTACATCCGATAAAAGTGGTTTGGAAACCGTTATGAGATGGTTAGAGGACATACATGACTATGAGTTTATATATGACAAGATAGAATATGAGAGAGGTCCTATAAACCGGAGAAAGTGTCACAATAAAGAAATTTTATTAGTAAGTAAATGTGGTTTGAAATAGGACTACTTGTTTTAGGTTTTTTCCATTGTGTCATTTATTTATTTGACGTGGCAGAAAAGTACAGAGAATATGAAGATGAACCAATGCCTGCAAATGTTCAGTATATGTACTCGTAAGAGATATTTTTATCTAATATTAAATGGACGCACAGAACTTAGCGAATGCACAGCAACCTGGACAACCAAACCCAGAGAATATTCCAAATGAAGTTAGAATACAAACTGCAATGGCAAACTATGGTCAAGTGCCAACAGATGTACAAATGCAAACTGCCATGTCAAATGACGCTGCGTTAGGTTTGCCACCATGGTATGCAAATATGAGATGGAAAGAGTTTTATACAAACCCTGAAGTGGGATATAAACAACTTTATGCAGATGACGCGAACACAGGAGTTGACCCAGAATATGTTTTCTACCAGAGGAGAAACAGAATGTATGAGCTCCAGTTAAAGAATGCTATGGAACTCAACAGGAAACGTAAGAGACTAGGCGGACATTAGATTTTTACATATAGTAAAATGGGTTTCTTCAGTAAGATAGGAAACTTCTTTCGAAATGTTGGAAGAGGTATATGGAATGGAATAAAATCTGTCGGAAGAGGAGTATGGAACGGTGTCAAAAATATTGGTAAAAGAGTAGGTCAGTTTGTTGGTATTATACCTAAAGACCCTGAACCAGAAGAGCAAGCTCTGTTATACAACAGCCTGAACCTGCACCACAGTCTAGTTGGCAACCAAATCCAACACCTCAACCGTATTAAAAAATTATATTTTTATCGTTCGATAGTAGTTGTATATGAAACTAAGTTCTAAGTAAAACGCATGGTATAATGGAATTATTCTTTTTCTTCCATCTGTAGTAAACCATACTTGAAAGTCTGAAATACTTCCACTTGGTGGTTCGTATAACTTTGTAGGTTTTTCGTAAAAGTCATTTGCCAAGCATAAGAAAGAGTTTTGGGCGCCAGAAATGAAGCATGAACAATAATAGCATCTGGGTCGAAAACATCTTTAAATAAATATGGTTCATCTCTTGCATATCGACTGTAGATATTTGTTAAAGGAGGTTCAACTTTCTGATTTAACATTCTTTGCAAATAATACCATGACATTGCAGTGAATTCTGTATATATTTGTTCGTCTTTATTTGGATTGTCTTCGTAGATTTGAAATGACACTTGTGAATTTTGTTTGTCATATACAATTCTCACATAAAGTGTGCTATCGGTATTCGCATATTCATCAGCATATTTTGCATAACATGAATTTATTTTATCTTCTATATTTTTTAATGCAGCCTGTAGAGAAGATGAGAGGTCAACTTGTATTAGCTCAATTTCTTCCCACATTTTTCGTTGCCCTTCAGATGTATAATCTATATGAAACCTTACAATAAATGGAAAACTTTTATCTTCTACAGACACAAACTTTATTCTTCGAAAGCCAATAGCTTTTGTGACAGATGGGTCTCTTAACCATCTTAATGGGTAGTCAAAACGATAGCCTTCATGCTTTACGGTATCTGTCTCAAACTTTTGACCGACATTAGTAAAAAGTTCATCTAATGGTTTAGTTGTAGCAACTCTAGAATTTTCTTTTTCTATTGGAAGCATATTTTATCTATAATAAAAATGTCAAATGAAACAGCGTCTATGAGAGAAATACAACACAACCGACAACTCATTATGCAAGCTCTAAATAAGAACACAACAAACTTTTCAAACTATTCTAAGATATCTGAGTCATTGAAAGAAGGAAACTTAAAACTGACAATAAACCCAATGACAGATGAGTTTCTATTTCAAGACAATAAGAACAATACTGTCTGTATAAATCCAGCAAAAGGAACTTTAAACGAGAAACCTATAAATGAACTTCTTTTGAAAGCAGATGTTGACAACAAAGCTGACAAAGAATATGTAGACGATGCAATAGCAAAAGAAGAAGAAAGAGCTAACAATGCTTATGCAACAAAAGAACATACTCATCCTGAACTAGCAGACAAAACATATGTTGACAATAAAATGTCAAGTGAAGTGACAAGAGCTGAAAACGAATATTCTAAAAAGACTCATATACATTATATTAACCAAATACCAAGTCTTAAGGAAACATTAGAGACAAAAGCAGATAAGACTCATACACATTCTATATCTGATATTACAAACTTACAAGAAACCTTAAACAGGAAAAGTGCCGTTGGACATACACATTCTATATCTGATATTACAAACTTACAAGAAACCTTAAACAGGAAAAGTGCCGTTGGACATACACATTCTATATCTGATATTACAAACTTACAAGAAACCTTAAACAGGAAAAGTGCCGTTGGACATACACATTCTATATCTGATATTACAAACTTACAAGAAACCTTAAACAGGAAAAGTGCCGTTGGACATACACATTCTATATCTGATATTACAAACTTACAAGAAACCTTAAACAGGAAAAGTGCCGTTGGACATACACATTCTATATCTGATATTACAAACTTACAAGAAACCTTAAACAGGAAAAGTGCCGTTGGACATACACATTCTATATCTGATATTACAAACTTACAAGAAACCTTAAACAGGAAAAGTGCCGTTGGACATACACATTCTATATCTGATATTACAAACTTACAAGAAACCTTAAACAGGAAAAGTGCCGTTGGACATACACATTCTATATCTGATATTACAAACTTACAAGAAACCTTAAACAGGAAAAGTGCTGTTGGACATACACATTCTATATCTGATATTACAAACTTACAAGAAACCTTAAACAGGAAAAGTGCTGTTGGACATACACATACATCTTCTGAAATAACAGACTTAAACGTTAGCCTTGAAAATAAAGCAGATAAAACATATGTCAATGAAATATACCAAAGTTTGATAGGAACAAAAAATATTGATACTATAGGGTGTCCAAAGGTGCGTTTAGCACAGCGCTCTATATGAGACTATTAAAGGAGATATATGCTGATTATAAATATATAATAAAAAATATGAATATATGTATATGATGAGTATGTTGTATTTTGGCGCCATGCCGGGATATAAAATGAATTTTGAGACAAGAGGCGGTTTCGCGGGAAATTTTGGCGGGATTTTTTTCATTTTTTTAATGAATCATAAAGAAAACATCCTCGCTCTTGCAAAAAAATACAAAGACTGTAAAAAAATCTACGAGACATTGGTAAAATGCTTCGGTATGGATGCTCCTAGCTATTCCACTGTAACGTATCATGTTAGGATGTATCACTTCATGAACAAAAAGGCGCCCATCATAAAAATTGACAAAAAATCGCCGGATCAAAGAAAAATCAAAGCAATTCTTCAAGCGCTAGATGAAGACCCAAGAGCATCACTCAGAAGGATAGAGGAGATGACAAAGATACCACGTACAACAGTCAGTTATTATCTGCACAATTATTTGAACTACAAACTAGCGTATACACGTTGGGTTCCGCACAACCTTAATTCAGTTCAAAAAAAATCTAGAGTCCAATCTTCGAAAGAGCTCCTCTCTATATTGGGTGCGTATCAATCCAAGAAGTTTCGCTTTTTAGTAACAGGGGACGAGTCTTGGTTTCAATATGCAACAGAAGCCAAAATCATGTGGATCCCGAAGGCTGAAAATCCGCAAACATTCCCGAAGAAAAAAATTGACACACCAATGATGATGTTGTCGGTTTTTTGGGGCGTGAATGGCATCATCGCAATTGATATTCTTCAAAAACCTAATACGATGAATGCTCAGTATCTAATTGACAATGTTCTTACTCAAATTATCAATTCTGATGAGTTTGAGAAATCCAAACAACAAAAACAAAAGTTTGCAATTCATTTTGATAATTCAAGAGTTCACAAAAGTCATAAGGTAATGAATTACTTGGTGGAAAACAATGTCAAAGTTGTTCCAAACCCAATTTATTCACCTGATATTGCACCCTCTGACTTTTATTTATTCGGCACGCTAAAAAAGAGAGCTGAAGGACGCGAATTCGCGAGTCCAGATGATCTTGAAAATTTTGTAAGAGAGCAATTTGAGCAATTTTCTCATGATGATTTAAAGCGTGTCTTTCAAGCCTGGATCGATCGCTGCGAACGCGTGATTGAATCCAATGGTGATTATATTTAAATAAACTTTATATATATGTAACTTGTTTATTTCTATTCGCAGTATTCAGGTTTGTGCTAAACACACCTTTGGACACCCTATATTGTTGGTGACTTTTCTGTCAATGAAGAAAATAAATATTTTAGATGACAGTTGGTACAGTCCTTAGAAAATGGTACACGGTATAAACTCATTCCGAAAAATAACAATGAAATGTATGTAAGCTATAAAAAGAATGATGGTACACAAGTTAAAGTTCCATTAGACAACAACTGCTACTTAAACTTATATGGAGACGAACAAAAGAAATATTTAAGAGTTTATGAAATGGCAGATATGACATTGCCTGACCCAGCTCCGGTACCACATTATTATGACTATGGAGATGACGACAGAACACCACATGTAGATGAACAAAAGCTAACATTATATTTATATTATTATAGATATAAAAGATATAATGCAATAGAAAAAACGAGAATAGTATATTATTATACAGATGACAGAAATAAATATTATAGTCAAGATTTTACCTACCCTGAAAACATAAGATTATATTATAAAAAATATTCTGACACAAACCAGAAGAAACCTGAAATAGTTGCACTATATTTTAAGTTCAAAAGAGACAATCCTATATTATCTCATATGTTTGATTTAATGAACCCAGTAGGTTCTATTTATACATCTATGGATGCAAGAGGTCCTCAAGTAATGTTTGGTGTTGGTGCATGGGAACAAATAGTCGACAGGTTTTTGTATTGTGCAAACTCTTCAAAGGAAACAGGTGGAAGTAAAACGATTTCAGGTGAAAATTTACCTGCACACAGTCATTACATAGATTTAAGTACATCTCAAGCAGGTTGGCATAAGCATAGATATTGGGATTGGTCAGGAATGACAAAAGGTAAAGGATATGATGTTAAAGACGACGTTAAGTTTGCTATAAATTGTTACTGGAGTGACACTCAGGGAGAAGGAAACCATACACATTTCGTTTCAGGATATACACAAACAACGGGACAAAGTAAAGAATACATGCCACCTTACATGACAGTTTACGCATGGTATAGAATTGCTTAGTCGTCATTTTCAACTTCTTTAGCATATTCGTCAGGAGTTGTCTTATATTTGTTAGGAACTGTCTTTGAAAGTATACCACCTTGAACTTTGACAAGTTTGAAACGAGGTCTGACAATAGTAGTTTTATCTTCTGCTTGCAGTGTGTACATTTTGCCATGTTTGCCTAAAACTTCATAATATTCTCTTGTATACTTTCTTCTATTTTTACGAACACGAATGTGAGTACCTGTCGAGTTCCCATTGTTGTCATAGTCAATAGTATTTTCATATGGGTCGCGTTTAGGTATTTCTATTTTTACTTTGTCACCTTTCTGAAGTTTGAAGCCCGGCATTCTTTCTTGTTTGTCTCTTTTGACTAAATTATTAAATATATAGTCTTTCTCTAAGTCAGGGTTGTTTTTCATTTCTTCGGGGGAGTGGTTTCCCAAACCTTTTTGTTTACGGTTATTGTAAATATTTAAAACTTGTCTCATCTTTGCCATGGAGAAGTGTCTATACTTGTCGTCATATGACATTTCATTTGCTTCACCACCTTGTGGTTGGTTTAAGTCTCTTAACATTTTTATACAACCGTCAATGACACCAAGAGCAGAATGGTTTTGGTCGACAATGAAATATTGGTTTACATTTTTTGAACGCAGATAGTTTTTTACATCATCTGATTTGAAAGAACTTTCACAGTCAGATGTCAGCTTTGTTGGATGGTATTTGTCAACGAATATTGTCAAAGCAGTTTTCACATCTAAAATATTTTTGGACCATAATGGTATGGCTTCACAGTATCTTGTGTTTTGACCAACAAATATTAACCAGTATGGAGGTCCATCTGTTCTAACTCTCGGAATGTTTTCCAAGATATCCATAAACCAAGCATTTGGTGTTGAACTAAAGATTTTTATCATGAGTGCTTTCTTTGTCGCTTTAGAAACATAGGGGTCCTTGTTCGGATTCGTCATTTTTTACCCTATAAGAAATGGGTTTATTTGGCGCATTAGGAGTGTGGTAGAATTTACGAAAAAGTGACACTTAACCTTAAATTTCCAAACACTATTTTTTGATTGTATTTTGTTATTTATATATGTATATATTTATATATGTATATATTTATATATGTATATATTTATATATGTATATATTTATATATGTATATATTTATATATGTATATATTTATATATGTATATATTTATATATGTATATATTTATATATGTATATATTTATATATGTATATATTTATATATGTATATATTTATATATGTATATATTTATTATGTATATATTTATATATGTATATATTTATATATGTATATATTTATATATGTATATATTTATATATGTATATATTTATATATGTATATATTATATATATGTATATATTTATATATGTATATATTTATATATGTATATATTTATATATGTATATATTTATATATGTATATATTTATAGAGTGTGGTAGAATTTACGAAAAAGTGACACTTAACCTTAAATTTCCAAACACTATTTTTTGATTGTATTTTGTTATTTATATATTTATATATATGTATATTTATATATATGTATATTTATATATATGTATATTATTTATATGTATATTTATATATATGTATATTTATATATATGTATATTTATATATATGTATATTTATATATATGTATATTTATATATATGTATATTTATATATATGTATATTTATATATATATGTATATATTTATATATGTATATATTTATATATGTATATATTTATATATGTATATATTTATATATGTATATATTTATATATGTATATATTTATATATGTATATATTTATATATGTATATATTTATATATGTATATATTTATATATGAATAAATAATACATCAAACTAGTTTTAGAGTTGATAGTAAGAAGCGAAGAACAGTACCAATAAGATACAGCAGTAGTAGCTGCTTCATGCTGTGTTGAGTATTGTTGAATTGGAAACTGCTTCATGCTGCATTGAGTATTGTTGAATAATTTGAAGTAGTGGTTTTTGAAATCAGCACCCCTATGAGAGCGCTGGCGACCGAAACACCACTAGTAAGATTGTGTATTAGAAACTGCTTCATGCTGTGTTGAGTAAGCTTCGATGTCTTTGTAGGATAGCTTTCTGAGAGCGAAACAAGATAGTGTTGAAAAAAAAATTTAAAAAATCTGAGAGACTGTGCAAGAGCCAACGACCAAAACACTACCAGTAAGATACAGCAGTAGTAGCTGCTTCATGCTGCATTGAGTATTGTTGAATAATTTGAAGTAGTGGTTTTTGAAATCAGCACCCCTATGAGAGCGCTGGCGACCGAAACACCACTAGTAAGATTGTGTATTAGAAACTGCTTCATACTGTGTTGAGTAAGCTTCGATATCTTTATCAGACCACCTTTAAATTAACCACTCACATTCTCACTGTGGTCCATCTAAAATTTGTAAGCTTTATGACATAAAATTATATTATATGCAGGATCCCACCTATTACTTGATCTTTTTGGAATAAATGTTTTATAATATTTATCGATTGATTGTAATTTTTTGTATAAAAAAAGTTTTTTATTTATATTAAAAATATATTTTGTTAATGATATTATCTTATAATTTGTAAATAAATCTAGTAATAAAATAACTTTAATAGTTGGTGTCACTTTTTCGAAAATTCTGGTTTTTTCGTCGCTTTAGAAACATAGGGGTCCTTGTTCGGATTCGTCATTTTTTACCCTATAAGAAATGGGTTTATTTGGCGCATTAGCAGGAGTTGCATCCAGATTTTTACCCGCAGTGGGAACAATAGCCAGAGGTGTATTTGGAGTTGGAAGGAAGATTTTGAGTACATTAGGTATACTGAAAGAGAAAGCACAACCTATTATACAAACTGTACAGAAAGGTTGGGATGTAGCACGAGATGCAACAAATCTTATTCCAAATCCTGAAACAAGAGGAAAAGTTCAAGGATGGATGGACAATGTAGGAAGACAAGCAGGAAACTATTATAACAAAGCAAATGACTACTATAACCAAGCAGGACACTATATGGACCAAGGTGAAAGATTCTTTAACAGAGGATATAACCATGTACAACAGTGGGTAAACAATAACCAACCACAACCACCTCAAACGTGGGGAATGTAAAGTTTTTTACTGAGATGAAATGAACAATGCAGCATTGAGACAAATGAGTTCAAGATGGATTTGTCGGCTTCCAGCATTTACACCACGTGTTTGTAAAGTTCTTCCTATACCTCAGGAAGTTTTAGACCGACTTAAAATCTTATATACGAAAAAAAGAGATCTGACATTGTGTCAGATCTCAGTAAAAGTGACATTTACATGTCAAAAAAATAGAATGAGTTTAAGTAATTAAAATTGAGGGTGAGAGTAGTATTGTATGAAATAATATCTCTCACCCTCCAATTCATCCTATGGCGCCGAAAAAATTTTGGTGAAATGCGACACATTTCACCAAAATTTCTCGGCGCCATATAGAGAACTAGAGCCTGTGAGGTACTGATACTATCCATGTACCTCGCAGGCTCTAGTTCCAAGCCAAAATGGCTAAAAATTGCCCGCAATTGTTCACATTGCGGGCAATTTTTAGCCATTTTGGCTGGGAATTGGAGGGTGAGAGTAGTATTGTATGAAATAATACTCTCACCCTCCAATTCATCCTATGGCGCCGAAAAAATTTTGGTGAAATGCGACCACATTTCACCAAAATTTCTCGGCGCCATATAGAGAACTAGAGCCTGTGAGGTACTGATACTATCCATGTACCTCGCAGGCTCTAGTTCCAAGCCAAAATGGCTAAAAATTGCCCGCAATTGTTCACATTGCGGGCAATTTTTAGCCATTTTGGCTGGGAATTGGAGGGTGAGAGTAGTATTGTATGAAATAATATCTCTCACCCTCCAATTCATCCTATGGCGCCGAAAAAATTTTGGTGAAATGCGACCACATTTCACCAAAATTTCTCGGCGCCATATAGAGAACTAGAGCCTGTGAGGTACTGATACTATCCATGTACCTCGCAGGCTCTAGTTCCAAGCCAAAATGGCTAAAAATTGCCCGCAATTGTTCACATTGCGGGCAATTTTTAGCCATTTTGGCTGGGAATTGGAGGGTGAGAGTAGTATTGTATGAAATAATATCTCTCACCCTCCAATTCATCCTATGGCGCCGAAAAAATTTTGGTGAAATGCGACCACATTTCACCAAAATTTCTCGGCGCCATATAGAGAACTAGAGCCTGTGAGGTACTGATACTATCCATGTACCTCGCAGGCTCTAGTTCCAAGCCAAAATGGCTAAAAATTGCCCGCAATTGTTCACATTGCGGGCAATTTTTAGCCATTTTGGCTGGGAATTGGAGGGTGAGAGTAGTATTGTATGAAATAATATCTCTCACCCTCCAATTCATCCTATGGCGCCGAAAAAATTTTGGTGAAATGCGACCACATTTCACCAAAATTTCTCGGCGCCATATAGAGAACTAGAGCCTGTGAGGTACTGATACTATCCATGTACCTCGCAGGCTCTAGTTCCAAGCCAAAATGGCTAAAAATTGCCCGCAATTGTTCACATTGCGGGCAATTTTTAGCCATTTTGGCTGGGAATTGGAGGGG